TTATTCCTGCCTAAAACGGACTCTGATGTGCCGGGTGAGTCGGCTAAAAGCGTCCGTTAACGTTTCTGTGGGCTGTGCTCTCTTTCAGGTGCCGGTGCAGCAGTAGCTGCCTCTAAGCTGGATCTGCTTCCTGCCTGGGATCTACCAGCCGACGTCGCCCTCTCTCCATCCATTGCTTTATTCCCGTCCGCCAGCATGTCCGTCCGTTTGTCCATGGACCAGCCGTGACCCAGGAGGGAGGGGGACAGAGTGCCGTCGCCGTGGAGACGAAGGAGGAGAAAGCTGGATTCATTCAGACGTTACGTATCTGAAGTGCTCCTGCTTGCTGTCCTTCATCCTCCTCACCCTCCTCCCCTTCCTCCCTCAGTTATGGAGATTTAAAGGAGCAGTGGGAGGTTAGGTCAAGACAGATAGGAGGGAGAAAAGACAACCAAGACCTATTTATTGCCCTAAGCAAGAATAAAGGAGAGTGGAAGGTGATTCATTCAGTCACTTGGTCTAAATAAAAACATTTGAAGCACATGAGCAGCTCTTCACCTGCGGACGGAAGGAGGAGCTGAGCCGAGCACGGACAGAAAGAACCAAAACAGAGAAAGTATCTTACTGACATGTCAACAACAGCAACAATGGGGGAAATGGCCAACAGCGCTGTGGAGTTTTATCCCAAAGGGACTAGAGGCAGGGGCGGAGGAGGAGGAAGGGCAGATGGCAGCCTGGCAGGGGGAGACTTTGGGGTCACAGTGAAGGAGCTAAGGGAGCTGATGGAGCTGCGAGGAGCTGATGCTCTACAGAAGATCCAGGACTGTTATGGAGACACAGACGGCCTGTGCCAGAGACTACAATCCAGCACCACTAATGGTGAGTCCATTAACGCAGAGGTTAATGGTTAAAGAACTGGAAACTAGAACTAATGTTGTGTAGTTTTACCAGCAGATCATAAATATATAAAATAACTAGGACTGGAGGTGTAGCTAATTAATAACTTATTATAATCAAAGGGAAAATTAATGAATGATAATAAGTTAAATGAGTGAAATCTACTTCCTTACAGGGTCTTTAGTCTTTTACCCAAAGTTGGACCTCCTGACCGGTGGTAAGAATCCAGGTGTCATTGACCAGTTTAGTAATTTAGACTAGCAGAACTATTAACCACCAACCAAAGGAAATATTCTATGTTTCTTCAAGCGTTAAACCAAAGGAGGGTGGATCAGGCTCCGAGTGATAAACCTGCATAAATAATCACAGACGACCGCAGCTTAAAATATCTGCACCTTTATTGGCTAATAATCCCTATTATAGGGCTGGGCAATAAATCAAATGAATTTGATTAATTTGTGTTTTTAAAAGTCCACGATTTGAAATTTTGTTAAAATTTTGCTAAAATTGAATAAGTATTTTTTTTCCTTGCATGTTTGCTTCCTGTTTCTGCCTGATATCGCGCTGCACTGTTTACTGTTTTCTAACGCCATGGCTGCCGGCCAATCTGAAGAGTCGGTACCGAGTAAAGGGACTCGTCCCTCATATGGAAGTGGTTCAGCTTGACAAGGCTGATATGGAGCAGACTACAGAAAATAACCTGCAAATACATAAATAATGCCAATGCACAAAAGCAACTAAAAGTTCCAGACCACTAGGGAGACACAATCAGCAGCTGATGTAGGACCAGACCAGGACTCAGGTTTTTAAGGCCGATGCTGAAACCAGTCTGACTGATCCCTGATATAAACTGCTGATAGTTTGGGTCTGACTTTTGAAGCATTTATTGCTTCTTTCTCCTCAATTTAAATGATAAATATGATATAATGATAAGAATATGATTCACAAGTCTCAATTTAAACAAAAGAGAAACTTTTATT